ATTTAAAATCGACTATTTGAAATATACACAAAATAAAGGTTTTAATAGATAGAAAACATTGATGTATAAGAATATGGTTTAGTTATGTCAAAAAAATAAATTATTAAAATTATATATTAAATTATCGCTACAGCGAGCGTGGGAAAGATTTCTTCTAATACTTTTAATTAAAATATCACGGAAGGTCGCTGCCTCGTGGCCCCAGCTTATAAATTGTTCCAGACAATGCTACTCGTGAGGAAGTATGAAAATTTTCGAGTATATTGCTGCACCAAGTCGCCGACCAACTGCACCCGCTGGTAAATAATTCCAGACGATGATTTTCACGAGGAAGTCTCGCGTTTTCGCGTATATGATTGCACCAGGTCGCCGACCAACTGCACCCGCTTGTAAATAATTCTAAGCGATGATTTTCACGAGGAAGTCTCGCGTTTTCGCGTATATGATTGCACTAGGTCGCCGAACAGCTGCACCCGCTTGTAAATAATTCTAAGCGATGATTTTCACGAGGAAGTCTCGCGTTTTCGCGTGTATTATTGCACCAGGTCGCCGACCTGCAGCGCCCGCTAATAAATAATTCCAGACGATGATTTTCACGAGGAAGTCTCGCGTTTTCGCGTATATTATTGCACCAAGTCGCCGACCCGCAGCGCCCGCTAATAAATAATTCCAGACGATGATTTTCACGAGGAAGTCTCGCGTTCTCGCGTATATTATTGCACCAGGTCGCCGACCAACTGCACCCGCTTGTAAATAATTCCAGACGATGATTTTCACGAGGAAGTCTCGCGTTTTCGCGTGTATTATTGCACCAGGTCGCCGACCTGCAGCGCCCGCTAATAAATAATTCCAGACGATGATTTTCACGAGGAAGTCTCGCGTTTTCGCGTGTATTATTGCACCAGGTCGCCGACCTGCAGCGCCCGCTAATAAATAATTCCAGACGATGATTTTCACGAGGAAGTCTCGCGTTTTCGCGTGTATTATTGCACCAGGTCGCCGACCTGCAGCGCCCGCTAATAAATAATTCCAGACGATGATTTTCACGAGGAAGTCTCGCGTTTTCGCGTGTATTATTGCACCAGGTCGCCGACCTGCAGCGCCCGCTAATAAATAATTCCAGACGATGATTTTCACGAGGAAGTCTCGCGTTTTCGCGTGTATTATTGCACCAGGTCGCCGACCAACTGCACCCGCTTGTAAATAATTCCAGACGATGATTTTCACGAGGAAGTCTCGCGTTTTCGCGTGTATTATTGCACCTTGTCGCCGACCAACTGCACCCGCTTGTAAATAATTCCAGACGATGAAGTCTGACGTTTTGGTGTAAACAATTTCACCAGTTTGTGGGTCTTCATTATTACCAATTCAAGAATACTTTTCGACGATGATGTGCATGAGGGTTTTTTCGTGTATTATCACAATAGGTTGCAAGCTGGTGATGAATCAAGATAAAATTTTGTAATGGAATAGAATAAAATGATGAATTAATATGAGTAATTTATGATTAACATTTGAATAAAATGAATACAACATCTGCTTGAGTTATTTAAACCAAAAAAAGCTTTATTCTTGATATTTGTTATTATAAAAACGTCCATTAATAATTTTATTAATCATTTCCCTTGTTGGTTGGAAACTATTATTATTACTCATGCGTACGGCTTGAGACGAGTGCAGTAATCCATTCAATGACTCAATACTTAAACGATTTTTCAATTTAGACATTCTCCAATTCATCTCACTGAATCGCCTTTCAGGAAAAACATTTGAGTGAGAAATGGACAGAACATATAAACTAAATTCGCCAATATCGCTAAAACTAATTTCCCCATATCCATTTTCCCATTCACGCAAATTCATCCAAAACGATACAACGTCACCTTGTGCAAGTGTTTTTAGATCTGCATAATACCGAGGCAATAATTCCCATTGCTGTATAAGCGATTCGCGAAATTCTACATCAGCACACAAGCCCTCACACTCTCGTAATAAATTGTAAAATAAGTCTGGATTATCATCATGAAATTTAATTAAAATTGCATTGTTTGGATTCAAACATTCTACTGCCGAAAGGAACGGCAAACAAAAATCATCAAAATAATATTTAAAATGTAAAGCAGCACTCAAAACAAAATAAGCTGCTGTTTTAAAAAAATTGAATAAAGTGTTACCATGAACGTGAACAATTTCCCTCATTTCGGGGTCGATGTCAAAATCACGATAAGCCATAAAATTATTTATATCGTACAAATTAATAGCATCAATAGGAATATTTTTCACGCTGGTGTGTTTGAAAATGATTAAAATAATATTCCTAAATCTTTTTTCAATCTCTTGCCGTAAAATATGTAATATAACACCTTCTCGCTGGAGTAGTCGATTCAAAGAGTTAAGCTCGTAAGAGACTTTTTTTATTATTAAAAAATAACATTTTGTTTCTGGGCGCGACATTTCGTCATGTACTAATTGAGCCTTCGGGTAATTTTTTTCAATTAATTCTATTGTAAAATCTTTAATTATCTCCCATAGCTCTAATATGCGCAAAATAACAGCTTCTAATGAGAGCCATCGAATCTCTTTATGATTTAAAATTTTATGTTGTGGTGCATCATACAAGTCAATTAAATTTTCAAAATCGTGCTTACGATGAGGACTGCGGACAAGCACGTTTATATTGGTGATTAACGTATATATTTCCGGTGGCAATTGACTCACAGCATGTTTCATTATCAAATGCGTCTTATGAGCTGGACAAATAACACTTATCATGTTGGGAATATGTTCCTCAAGAAGAGGTTTTACACCTTTGAGACGCCCTGTCATTGTCGAACACCCATCGAAACTAGCACTAATAATATTACTGAGCGGAACATTGTAATATTCAAATGAAGATTCGATACATTCAAAAATTCTTTGCGAGTTGGTGCTCGCTTCCTCCCCTTTGATAAACATAGGTGAAANGACGTCTCGAAAGAACGATCGCGACTTGAACATAACACCGAGAGAGTCCGTGTGAAAATGATCGCGCGACGCACGATGCAGCGTGGTCTGTTTTCGCGCGAGAATATTTCCGCTAATCGACTCGACGGTGAAATTTCCGGAAATGCTCCATACGTCGATCGCTCACAGCTCGACTGTTTTCTGTATCTTCAAAAACAAATATCTCGCTATACTGATCTGTGTTTAGTTTATTGCATTCCCGCGTCAGTCTTTCTGCTCGTCTCGAGGCGTGACGTCTGCCATCAAATTAATCGCAAATAAATGCGAATTTATTCTTTGTGTTATAAAGTTTATTGTATACGTGAAAATAATGTCATTAGGAGAGAGTGAGATAATTAAGTGGCTGAGTGAATCCCAACTTTTTTATATTACTGCTGCTGCTGATGACAAGCTGTCAGCTACGCTGACCGAGTCCGATATCGATAATTTTCGATTAAGTTTTTGTTGTAAAAACGTCAGCAGCAAAGAAATAAAAAATACGAAGTGCAGCAAAGTAAAAAAACAAATTTTAAATGAATGTCCGTCCATAATTCATGACGGCACTTCAATACATAGCGCAAATATAGTGCCACAAGCTCCTTATCAGCAGACAGGTGTTGTGATTCAATCGAGGACCATACCATTACGAATTGAACTGTAAGTAATTATTGCTAATGTTGAATATGGGCTTGTCTATGCAGGCAAAAATTCATATACGAAATTTTTCGTTTTTGTTATACGAAACCCCAAATAATCCGATTTTCGTACTTTCCGTATTATAATTTAGTATTTTGTGTACAAATTTAGAATTTCGTGAACGAATTTTCCCCTGAATAGACACTTCGACTTAATACATGGGCAAGACCGCATAAAAGCTCTGCTTTGAAATACCACGAGATTACGAGTTATATTTTAATTGTAAAATTTTAATTATAGCTGTGTATTATATTACACGCAAAGATTTTAATATCCTTTTGTATTCTTCAGACAAAACAATGACACTGGTTCTTGTAAGAGGTTTACGGAAGAAGCACGTTGGCTGAAAAAATCAACTGTATCGTATGTATAAATTATAAATTAAGTACAATATTATATGTTATCAAAAATCTAATGTAATAAAATTATTTTCAGAGTAAAGAGCTATAAATCGGACACGGTATCGAATTCGTCTGTTACCAGTAAAAAACGAGTAAATTGAATATTATTATATAATTACCCGTCAACTTGCTGAATTATGAATAATACGTAATTTATTTATTCCAGGAGCCGATTCACAATAATTATGTTGTCTCTTGTCCATACGAGAACTGTCGTCAGGAATCGAAAAATTTTAATTACTGCGAACATTGCAAAGAAAAACTGCCTGAAATTATGAACTATTATCTCAGTTCACTTCAACAAAGTAACACGTACGATTTGAATTTTTATCTTTTATCTCTAACAATATTCTTTTCGATTGTTATAATAATAATTGTTTACATTGCATTTTAGGATAAAAAAAGTTCAGATTCAGAGTTCACAGGATACAAAAATAAGTAATGATATCAACGATTATTTTTCGTATTATGGCGAAGACAATCTAACCGTTGGTTGCTTTGACGACTCTCAACACCCCATATTTTCGACTCATGAATTTTTATTATTTACGGAAGAGTTTTTAAGTCTAAAAGGAACGGCGTGGATCGATGGCAAACTCATCGATTGCTTTGCCAAAATTTCATGTTCGGAATGGGGTGACTCAAGCTTCGCTCTTGCAGGAGTTAGCAGTTTTATTTTTGCTTTTGCTCCGAATGAACAAAATTATGATTGGCCAATGTATCATTTTAACAACCTAAGATTCGATAAGTATCTTTTTTTCCCCATTCTACTTGAACGCCATTGGACACTATACGTGGTGGACATAAAGAATAAAAAATTGATACATATCGATTCGCTAGTCCGAGAGCCGTCAATCGAAAAATTATCAATTAGATCAATTAATGCACACAAAAATTTTATAAGATACGTTTCTCAGAGCAGAAACTACGCTCAGAATTTTTTGCAAAATATCGATTGGACCATAGGTGTGTTTAATAACAACAGACACATGCAACAACGCGGCGACACAGATAATTGTGGTGTTTATCTTATGTACTACATGGATCGCATTGGAAAAGGATTACCGTTAGATGATCCATCATTTACTCCTAAGTCATACCGAATTGAAATCGCTAGGAAACTTTTGAGTCATTCTCAAGATATGTCAACCACGTGTCTGCTTTGTTTCAGTGAAAAAAACAAAGCAGAAATTCGATGTATTATTTGCCAAAAATGTATCCATGAAGCATGTATATTTAGGTGTAAGAGTAATAGTGTAATCCGGTATTATCAAGAAAATGAACAATTTGTGTGTCCAAGGTGTATTCGATAAACTTAAATGTATCTTAATTGTTGTTCTTTCATTAAATTTACACTCTCAAATAGTTTTGTATAATCTTTTCGAGGGCAATTATTCACACGGTGCTCTAAACCAACCTGGTGAAACGATATGCACCATTACCTGGAACATATATCAGTAGGTTTTGAGTCCGTTACCTGGTGCAATAATACACGCGAAAACGCGAGACTTCCTCGTGAAAATCATCGCTTAGAATTATTTACTATCGGGTGCAGTTGGTCGGCGACAAGGTGCAATGATACACGCGAAAACGCGAGACTTCCTCGTGAAAATCATCGTCTGGAATTATTTATTAGCGGGCGCTGCAGGTCGGCGACCTGGTGCAATAATATACGCGAAAACGCGAGACTTCCTCGTGAAAATGATCGTCTGGAATTACTTATTAGCGGGCGCTGCGGGTCGGCGACTTGGTGCAATAATATACGCGAAAACGCGAGACTTCCTCGTGAAAATCATCGCTTAGAATTATTTACTATCGGGTGCAGTTGGTCGGCGACAAGGTGCAATAATACACGCGAAAACGCGAGACTTCCTCGTGTAAATCATCGCTTAGAATTATTTACTATCGGGTGCAGTTGGTCGGCGA